GGGGGGAGCTGAGCGAACGACTTGGAACGAATTGACGGGGAAAACAAGGGCTCTTCTCTTTTTCTGCGTTCGAGTGCACCGCAAATAATCACCGGCACACTGCACACGTTCGCATAAGCGTTCGCCACGCCGTGCACTTTTTATTACAGAGCGGCGATTCAATAATAACGAATGAAATTTACTTTGTACGTACACACAACGTGCATGCGCTTATTAGAATATATATTATATATATTATGCCATCCGTTATGTAACCCGCAATATTCCCGTTATATAAACGTCCCGTTGCAATTACGTAATGCGCGTGTACGGATGGGACGTACACTTGACGGCGGATCGTGATATATGTGGCCTTGCCACTCGCGCGAAAGTCGTAACGACGTTATTGCCTCCTTATTAAAAAGGATTACGATTCGCGCCGATTGCGTACCTATTAATACCTTACGGTACATTTATTTTAAAATTTCTTGCGCTATTACTCGCGCACGCAAGTGATTCAGGCGAACGTAACGAGATTATCAGAAATAAAATCTCTTTTTGTTCTTTCCCCTTTCTTCTCGTAACTTAAATTTAATATTCTCTAATTGTCAGGATAATTTCTCAACATTCGAATGCGAAAGGATCGCGTAGGGATCGCGTTGTCCCAGGTATCATTTCCCATGAAATATAATCGTCGGGCAAATACCTCGAGAATGAAGGAGAGCGGAGAAGATTACCCGCGCTAAATGCCCGCGCGTTTATTTCTGATTATTTTCGTCGCCGGCGGAGAGGACGGCAAGAGTGACGCCGCCTTTTAACAAGGCGGGACTTTATCAGGAAAAGAGCTTGTGGAAAGAGAGAAACTTGGCCGCGCGATGAGTGGTGGTCACAGGAGGGTATAAGTAATTCTCCGAGAATGCTATTACGTCCTGCTGCGCCTTCGCTCGGGGGACGAGGGCTATTTCAACGCGTAATATGAGAGAGGGTGGATATGGGAGGTGGTAAATGTCAGCTATGTATGAAAGAGAGTGCCGCCATAGAGCGAACGTGGCGCGGACAGAGCCGGGGTTATCCGCGCCACGGCGGCGGCGGCGGCGGCGGCGGCGGGGAGGACGGGGGACAGGGGGTGTGGGAGGGTTATCCATGGCCGTGGCAGGAAACTCGAGGGACCGGCGATAAATTGTACGTCTTCTGAAAAAATCTCAGGTAACTTAAAATATCGTACGTTTTTTGTCCTAAACATATGAGGGGGAAAATGCCTGCACCGCAGTCGCACCGTTGCCGCGCGCGGACATTACTCGCCGTTTGCGGGACAGAAATTAGAAATTAAAGAACGAACAATGGCCGTCGTCGGCTTCAAAATATTTTTAGGTAATCTAGCGAGCCATACAATATATCTACGTTTATTTGCGAATACAATTAGGGAATATATTTATATAACGATTGCGGCGTATAACGGAATAAAATAGAATTAATAATACACTTTAATCAAATTTTATATAATAATTTAACGACATAATACAATATATATAAATAACACTTTTATTATAATACATCTGACATTATAAGCGACTACGTATATATGTATTCTTGTTAATTGAATGTATCCATTATAAATTTTATGGAAATTTATTGTAATTGCGTAAAATTAAAATGTTACACGCTCGTTTTGTACAAATATTTACTTCGTTATTTGAAATATTGTGAAACAAATCCGAGGACAAAGGAAAGAACTGCGGAAGCACATTGCTCTCTAAAAGTGTGAAAAAAAATACGCGGGATAACAACTGCCACCAATTTAGCGACTCCAATTTTGACGCAACGTGGATTTTTAGGACAAGTTAAAGTGAGAAACCTAGTTTTGTTAATGGCCGTAACTTTATTTTAGAGGACGAAGCCCGAGCGCGGGCGAGGCTCGCTCACCAACAAGTGCCATTATCACCGCCTCTCGACTCCGTAACCATAGACTAATTTCGCTTAAAGAGCCCGTCGGACAGTTAACGCCCGGGTTTTTTTCGTCCCCGTCTCCGCAAATTTCAATTTTACGTGCAAAGAAAATTTCCGAAAGTTAAGCGCGACGCGTAATTACGTCGCCCCTTTGGGCGACTCTAGAGAGGCTGCACGCGACCGCGCGATTGTCAAAACTTTCACCGGACAATCGTATTAGGGGGGGATATCCGGTCACGTCAGTTTAAAGAACAAAAATCAAATTTGTCGAGTTAAAATTTTTACGTTGGCCGTATACCTTGGC